TTGCAATCTCATAAAAATGATTCATACTTTTTCATAACACATTCTTAATTGTAAGCTCGAAGACAAAAACCAACAGGCTCATTGATGAAAGTATAAAAACCAGCATAGTTTTTATGACTCAGCTGAGTTTTTAATTGCAGTAAACATACTTTGGCGAAAAATGTATGTATACAAACTTTGATAGAGTCATGGGGGCTCGAGCACTCCTGGCTCAGAGCTTTTGGCGGAAATCAACTGAGAAAGAACAAAACAATTTTAAACTTGAACAAATTTTCAAGCAGTTTTCCATTGGCTTGCAAAATGAAATCGATTTACTCCGCAGTACTCAGTTCTGAACGTATTTCGCAGTTGGGTGTGGTGAAATTTGTGCATTCCCGTTTGATTTTGGAAATCCGTATCACAAAATTGCCCACCGATTCCTTTTTTTTTGCCGTTCGACGACGACGGGTGTGCTTTCACAAGAGTGACGTTTATTGGATCCGTTTCTTTGCACAGGTGTTTTTTTTTTTATGTGGAAGTGCAGAGGACTCCTCGGCTTCCATCAAAGCGAGTGTCACGTCAGCACATTCCTACCCATTCCTTTCTTGACCTGCGTTCAGGTGTGGCTGGCGCTGGTATTGCCTAATTCGAGATCACCAGTTTTTACACATTGAGGATGATTGCTAGTCCCAAGCATCGTCTATTGGTTCTCTGTGTAATAACAGAGTAGCAATAACAGAGTAGCAACCGTGGGCGGTCAATCATGCTCATGCTCATGCTCATTCTACGAAATTCTGTTGATGAAAAAAGTAAGAGGCAAATGAATGTAAATGAATGCACGAAATGAATGTAAATGATTTGCCATGCCTGGTCCAAGATCTTGATATCGGTTACCAACATTTGATCCACTTTGTCTCTGCTTGTTATTCATTCATATGTTTCATCCTTTCTTGGTCTTTCCAGAATTGCATATTTATCGCCCTGAAACTGCTGGCGGTTCCGATTGCGTTTATTAATTACAACGGTTCGGATTGGCTTCGTTACCTCCGGTGTGGCTGCCTTACAATTCGGCAAGCAGAATCCTTCATATTGTTGCTAATACGGGATCCAGAGATTATGATTTGCCTAGAGAATTTTCGAAGATACAATTATTTAAATCAATGTGATTTATCAAATCTATTTTTTAGTTTTCTTCTATTTGCATGCAAAAATTTGATTGCTTTATCGAAATTTGAAAAAGTTTTAGCTTTCTAATTGTAAGCTTATTTTCAAAATCAATGGGAGGTTAAGTTCATGAAAAATACGTTGTTAAGAATAAATCCAAATTCAATATCACCACCAAAAATTTTGAACATGCCAAATGAAAGCCCAATATTTCCCCTTTACTGTGCTGTATAAACATTAGGGGTTATCTAGAGCATTTTTAATTATTTGAATGAATCATGGATACGCAAAAATTGAGCACTTTTGAAAACTGTTACAGCCCCTAGTTAACGAGGGGGCCTTCGATTTTTCTAGTGTCATAACAAGAACGTCGAATCTCTCGATTTTTTTTTCCGTCGATCATGTTTTCCGTACTGAGTACCAATGATACCGACGCCAGGTAGGCAACTTCCATCCTGAACCCTGACCGATCACCAACGGCTTTACTTTCCTGACGTTGATCACAGATTTTATGTCTCAGAAAATCCCGACGGCGCTGACTGGGATTGAATCCAGGCCCTTTGGGGTGAGAGGCAATCACACTGACCACTACACCACCGGCCCCGCTACTACAACTTCTTCTCAGACACAAATTTTGATGCAATAAATAATTTTAGATTTTTTTTTATTTATATGTGAAAACACATATGCCCTTTTAAAAAATTAGTCTTGAGTCAAAATGGTCTCGTGATCTGTGGAAAAATCCGAGGAAAATCATAATCTCGCATACTAACGACATGTTGAAAGTTTCATTCAGATCGGGAAGAGTCGTGCCAGATTTGTTCTAGCTGATTTCACCTGGAAATGTTCTATAGCAATACAGCTGTATCACCAGTCTTGAAAATATGTGCATCTATTCAAGTCCTTGCAATTGGAAGATACCAACAATGTGTCGGTAACGACATGGTGATGGAAAGTAAGATTTGCCCACTATGGATCAAATCAGAGATGACGGAGGAGGAGAAACGGATCGCTAAAATTTCTACGGCGGGGAAAACTGATTGAGACACTTCGAATCAACAAAACGAACAACCAAACCAAAACAAACTTTACTCGACAGATTGTGACAGATGAGTCACCATCTTTCGAGCGGTCGAGTCAGTTCGACAGTGAGCATTCATAAGGGCGTATACGCGATGATCGATTCTCTTCATCGATTTTCTCTTTCGTTAATAACTCGCTAGATTTAACGTTTATCGGTGCGTTTGCTGTTGCTTTTGATGGCCAATGCAACCTGTTACAACTCTACATTGAATAAATTCTACAAAATTGTTTCGCTTAGCTGTAGCAATGCAAAGAGAAAATCGATGAAGAGAATCGATCATCGCGTATACGCCCTTATGAATGCTCACTGTCGAGTTTACCTACTCGACTGTATATCGTCGACATCGACTTCTGTAATACCAAAATAGACCGGTTGAGCGAAGTGAACCTCGATTCGACTTACATAATTGGGCCCTATAAATCCAAATATGATTGCTCTTTTTCCAGTAAAATTGGACTTCGCTTCTCGTAATCCAAATTCGATTGCGTTTTTGCAAATAAAATTTGAATTTAGTTCTCGTAATCCAAATCCGATTGCGCTTTCCCAAATAAAATTTGCCTACACTTCTCGTAATCCAAATTCGATTGCAATTTTCCAAGTAAAATTGAAGTTGCTGTTCATAATCCAAATTCGATTGAGGTTTTCCAAAAAAAATGACTTTACTTCTCGTTTTTCAAATTTGATTGCACTTTTCCAAATTAAATTTGACATCGCTTTTCCAAATAAAATTTGCCTACACTTCTCGTAATCTAAATTCGATTGCGCTTTTCCAAATAATAATTGACATCGCTACTCGTAATCCAAATTGGATTGCAATTTTTCAAGTACAATTGTACTGCACTTTTCCAAGTAAAATTGGACTTCGCTACTCATAATCCAAATTAGATTGACCTTTTCCAAATAAAATTTGAATTCACTTCTCATAATCTAAATTCGATTGCGCTTTTCCAAGTAAAATTTGACTTCACATCTTGTAATCAAAATTGGATTGCACTTTTCCAAATAATATTGGCCTTCGCTTCTCGTAATCCAAATTCGATTGAGCTTTTCCAAAAAAAAAATTGACATCACTTTACCAAATAAAATTTGTCTAAGCTTCTCGCAATTCAAATTCGATTGCATTTTTCCAAGTAAAATTTGACTTCGATTCTCGTAATCCAAATTGCGCTTTTCCACATAAAATTTGACTTTACTTCTCGTACCCCAAATTCGATTGCAGTTTTCCAAACAAAATTTGACTTCGCTTTTCCAACTAAAATTTGACTACGCCTCTTGGAACCCAACTTCGATTGCGTTTTTTCAAACAAAATTTGACATCACTTCTCGTAATTCAAATTCGATTGCGCTTTTCCAAATAATATTTGACTTTACTTCTGGTAACCGCTTCTCATGATCCAAATTCAATTGCGCTTTTCCAAGTAAAGTTTGACTTCACTTCTCGTAATCCAAATTCGATTGCACTTTTCCAAATAAAATTTGACATCACTTTTCCAAATAACATTTGCCTAAACTTCTCGTAATTCAAATTCGATTGCGTTTTTTCAAGTAAAATTTGACTTCACTTCTCGTAATCCAAATTCGATTGCACTTTTCCAAATAAAATTTGACTTCGCTTTTCCAAGTAAAATTTGACTCCGCTTCTTGGAACCCAACTTCGATTGCGTTTTTTCAAACAAAATTTAACATAACTTCTCGTAATCCAAATTCGATTGCGCTTTTCCAAGTGAAATTTGACTTCGCGTCCCATAATCCAAATTCAATTGCGCTTTAAAAAAAATTGACTTTACTTCTCGTAATCCAAATTCAATTGAACTTTTCCAAACAATATTTGACTTCACTTTTCCAAGTAAAATTTTCCTTCGCTTCTCGGAACCCAAATTCGATTGCGCTTTCCAAATAAAATTTGACTTCGCTTTTCGCAATTCATTTGCGCTTTAATAAATGTGACTTCACTTCTCGTAATCCAAATTCGATTGCGCTTTTTCTGGTGAAAATATTGCAATTTGTTTATCTATTTTTTTGATTTTTCAATTTAACCAAAATCCGGGTTTTCAATTCCAATGTTAAATTTGAGCAGTTTACGACAGCGAAGCATGGTGCCTATCAGTGTAGAACACACAAAATCATTATCCGATGCCTACGGCATGTAATCCGTGCCCTGAGAAAGGGAACACATTATGAAAAAAATGAAAACCAAATCTGCAAACATGTGCTGGATTGGAACCCACCTGGACATCACAGGCAGACCCAGGGGCGACGGAGTCTCAACAAATAAATAAAGCAAAATCTGGCCTGGATCCACGTCAAGGTAAAAGCAAGCAGTCGCCCTGGATGGACATCTTTTACGTAGTACCACTGGTGTTCTGATTTGCACTTGAAGCAATTATGTTTATGCCCTTCCTAGTATAATTTCCAATGACATACTGGGTTAAACACATATCCCAAGTAACATTTCTGGTTTTATGAGGGTTCTGTAGACCATGATTTAGACTTATAGATAGCTATAAAACCGCGTTAAAACTTGCAATGTTGCTTGGGATATGTTGATACACCATCAAGTTACCCATGGTCTGGAGTCGTATTAAATAAAATCATGTGGAAGGCTGTTAAGCTGTGCACATCTTCTTCTTCCTATCTCAAACCGGGAAACCAATCTCGCCATCTCCAGCAGGTTAATGCCGTGTATTATCTGACTAGGCTACATGAGGCCCCACCCGCTGAGCTGTGGACATGGTGATACATAAAAGCCAAACTCAAGACCACCTAGCTCCGATAAATCCAAAATATGGCTTATATATATTTTGAGCTTTCCATTAGCCTAGTACATTTATTACTCTTTGTCTTGCGTCATTTATACCTTTTCACCATTCTTCTTTTATCTTTGCTTCTTGGAAGGGTTAGCACTGTTCTCTCTCTCTCTTTCTTGTCTTTCGCTCTTTCTCTCTCTCTCTCTCTCTCTCTTTCTCTCGCTCAATCTTAGCACACTCTGTTGCTCTTCGCTCCCTCTGTTACTCTTCCTACATCTGCATACGCCAGTGTTGTCACATATCATTTCTCTTATTGTTTTCCGTATTTTTGTCTGGCGGCGACGGCGACGGCGGCGGCGGTTTTGCTATTGTTTTGTTCAAAAATAACAAACGGAAAATTCTATTGCCCTCAAAACACACTGACCGATTTCTGCTGCTAAACTGTTTGGTAATTTGTATGTGTGTAATCCTGTTTGATATATATGTATATATATAAATAGTTCAATAATGCTTCAATTTCCCTATACTGTATTTGCCAAGCCCACCGGAGAGCGAGCGTATGGACAACTTTGGGTACGCTAAAATAAAGTGTTTGTAAATCAAACAACCATTCCGTTTCTGTTTGTATTTTGTTTGTGAAAAACGAACAAAACCGCTTTTGCTACAACATGAATCTACCGAGAAAAAAAATGCCTACATCTGCTTTGTTTGTATCGCTACGTTTTGATAAAAATTTGAATCACATTCGTCACATTTCCACTTTTTCCACGTTTCTTTGTATTTTTTTTTGTTCATTATAACTTTTGCTTTAGATTAGTTCATTAGAAACAAAAATTTTACGTTTAAAGTTTTACTTCAGACTTTCTGAAATAAGTACAATTTAGTAAATCTTATTTTTATATAGCAATGAATTTGATTCAGTTATTGAGTTGGTATTTATAGGTTTTTTGTTATGCATATTATTACACTTGTCTTGGTTTAAAATCGTTCCTTCAACTCTTTATGACATGTTGCGCATATTTAGCAGTGACATTTCTTTGACTCCGTCTTGGTTATTCCCGTCCCTAGAACGTTACTGGATATTCATTCCACTCAGCGTGCCCGTTTTTGATTCGCTATCTCCGTATAAAAACCTCTTTGGAATTTAGACTACTTACCTGTACAAAGCCTAGAGGAATTCTAATTTTGTTGCACCTTTTACGATCCAACCATCACTTTACCAATTCATTGTTTCGGTTTTTCGGAGCCCCCTCACCCTCCCTTCCTTCAGTGGCATTTCTAGTAACAAGTGCGTTCATGTTTCGGCTGCTGCGGCTTCTGATGGTGGTGGTGGTGGTGCTGGTGGTGGTTATTGTTGCTGTTGTTGTAGTTGTAGTACTCATGCTGCTTTTGATGCGAATGCTATTTGGCCGAATGTCAACGTTTCTCGTAGCTTAAATCTCGCTTGTCAAAGTCCGAATCCGGGAGATTGGTCATGTGGGTGCGATCGCTTCGGGCTGTGTTGCGATCGTTGGAACCCGTCTTGGTGGATACCTCCGACGGTGGACCGGAATCCGTGGTGACGTGCTTCTGGAGGGCGGATACGAAGTTCTGGAAAATGGAGATATTGAAGAATTTATTGTCACACCTTACAGGCATACTACAAAACTTTTTCTACATCTGGTCATAAAATGCCGGAATCCAGTATCCGCTAAGTCTGATAAATCTGGAATAACATAAACTTCATAAGGCCGGGATCTCAACTAAAATCTAAGCCTTGAATTGCAAGAATTAGCTGAAATCGGGATCTAAAACATGCAAATTTTCTTAATCTGTAGATTCCGAGAGTTTGACACAGCAGCTGTATGAGATTTAAGATAGCAACACCATGAACGTACCTGTGAAATTATGTCCCCTCGGGCGGTTCGCACCTGATACAAGTAGCGGTACTTTCGCTGCCGGGCTTCCTCGCGCGTTTCCCGTGACCGTGATCCGGATCGGCCCTTGTAGTTGCGTCGCCTTCGGTTCATCATCTGTCGTCGGTGGTCTATCTTCCAGGCAGTGACAAAGCTCTGAACCAGTACCCCTAGCACCGAGGCAATGGGCCAACAGCACAGGATCACTCCACCCCAGCAGGGCGGAGGCGTCGGATCCGGTTTGATGTTGATGATCTAAAATGACCGAAATTGATTTGCTGTAGAAAATTGACAACTCCAATTGTATAAGGCTTCGCCTCACCCAATCCAACGTGTTCAGTCCATGCATGAAGAAGTCGATTGAGCACAAGATCATGGCCGATCCCAGTATGCTGGAAGCGATGATTGACATAAACTTCGGACAGAACAGTGCGATAATTGCACAGATGATTGCACCTCCCACGATTGACACGAAGAGCTCATTTTCCTAAAAGTAAGATCGATATTGAAAAACACTCAATTCGAACACGCCATACGGGAGATACTCACTCCAAAGATGTAATGAGGTAGTGTGGCTATGCAGGCCGCAATGGTGGCACCGGCTACCAGCGCACCGGCCGAGGCTCCGATCAAGATGGACGAAATTGGATGAGTTGAGCCGAGGATAGCACCAAATAAGCCGGCAACTACAGCGAGGGCTGAGAAGAAGACATTTTTCTTATTCAATTTACAACCATCTCAGCGAAACAAATGGATCTTACCTGGTGCTGCTAGATTGCCAAACTCTGTGATGTTTTTACTCTGCAGCAGAACGATGCATCCGGCACCAGCAGCGAGACCCGTTAGAAATCCTATTGCTCGTAAGCAACGGTATCCTGAAACAGAAAAAATGCGACTTGAATCATAATGATATGCAGAGATTTCATGCAACTTTCGTTTTTTAACGAGCGGCCCGCCCCCACAGGGCCCATGCATTCATTATGTCACGCTAAATCGAGGAGAAATTTACCCCCCCCCCCCCTATCGTGACATTTTTCCTATACCTAATGCATTGCTTGTCACAACATCTTAGACCCCCCTCCCTAGAGCGTGACATAATATATGCATCAGGGGAAAATATCCTCTTTATTTCAGCGTGTTTAATTCTCGGACAACTCCAAATACAACAACCTTCTATCTAGTCGATATGTTATTGTTGAGAGCAACACCGCTTTAACTAAGGTTCGAAAAGCTCCGTCGCCGAAAATCGAGCAACTTGGAACCTTCATCCATTTCGGAATAACCGTGAAACAGTTATGCGACCATTTGGAGGCAGCTGGGCTAGCAGACCATTTGAATAACCCCATGCTGGTCCAGGAACTGGTGGATAAGCTTCCGCTAAGCTACAAGTTGGATTGGGTACTGTAACGCTCGTCTAGGGTGACAATGAATAACCCACCCTTTTAACGTGTTTGTCATGAGCGTGTACCTTGTCTGTTATGATTTGTTTTTGTTTTGGTCGCACGCTCGGCAACATACTCACCATTGCTTTATTTGTAAATATTTTAATTTGTTATTTGTATAGTAGATTTTATTCGTGTAGGCTTGTTTTTTGGATTAGAATGTAGCGTAAAAAATATCGTTTTGAATTGTCTCGCGTCTAGAATAAAGATAGGTCCCGTTTCTCCTCCCGCTGCAAAAGAAGGCGAAAAACATTAGGAGCATAACATTCGAGCGCGGTTGCAGGAGGACGATGGCGGTTGTTGTATTGTACGTGATTGTCAGCCAGTACGAAAAACAGGAGAAAGTTACAAACCACGGTTGGAATACGACGCGTAGATTTTGCCCCGTCCGTTTGAGTGAAAACGAGAAGTAGGAGTGCCGTTTTCGTGACGTCCCAACTAACAATTTTAGCTGCAACTCAGCTTATACAGGCAAAAGTTAGCTGCATAAGGCAAATTTTGGCAGTATAAGCTAATCTGCAGCTAAAATTGTTTGTTGGGGTGTGTCTGCTGGAGGGATAATTCCCAGCATCGTCGCGTGGAAGTGACGTCGTTTCCCCGAAAAGTGCCGTGGTTCGTGAGCTGCATAAGCGAAGGGTGTTGCATCGCCACCAAGGGAAGCTAAACTTCAAGGATTTATTCGCTCCCGGCTAACCACCAAGGATCCCCGAACACCCACCGTCCTCACTGCGGTGGCTCAGCGAGAAAAGCCAGTCTCGTCACCGCAGTTAAGAGCCAAGGAGGGACGAAGCAGGCCGAACTGAAGGAGCGTTCGCCTGGGTAGTGCACTGCGGTGACTACCGCGTCCATCTACGGCGAGTAGTTGGTTCGGTGATTCGTCACCATCGTCGCTGGGGGGTTCCGATAAAGGAGCCTTGCTCATCCCCCCGGTAAATGCAAAGGACCGCTGCTAGGCAGCTGAAAGTGAAGTAGAAGACGCTCGGCACAGACCGTGTCTGGAGCCGACGTAAACAAGCAGCAACCGCCGCCGCTATCGTTGAAGAGCCCCACCGAGTGACACCGAGGACAACGAGGAGAAAAAGGGAAAGGTCAGATTAGTCAATAGACGTCTTAAATTTCATATTGCTTTCTCTTTTTCTTATCAATCCATCCAAATCCGAACGTCTTTGGGGGAAGTACTCTGCTCGTAGCCACCCCGCCGGGGTAAATCGGACCAGCCATAGGTAAGTACCAACTTACAGTACGCTACAAGAGGTACAGTCGTGGTACCCCACTGCGAAGGTTCGATGTGGTTTCGGATGTGTCGGAAGTGGCAGACTACACGGGGGCGAATCTTCGTGAACCAGTACCTGCAAGAAACCGCAACGATAAGAGGAAGGAGTTTGTTCACATGCACAATACTTCCTCCAAGGGTGAGACACCACAGGGTAATAAGATGGCCCAGCCTTGCTAAATGTGTAAGAGGTTAGATCATAAGGTAAGGTTTTGCGACGATTTAAAAAAAACTGAATGTTACGGAACGATTGAGGCGGGTAGAGAACCTGAAGCTGTACGTATTGTGTTTAAACGCCCATGGGAAGAGCCGATGCAGCTTCAAGTTGCGCTGCAATGTGGGTGATTGTCAGGAGTATCACCACCCTCTTTTGCATCGTGCTTGGGAATCGGTTCAAGTGGTAGAATGCAATGCACATAACCGTTTCAATCGGTCGGTCATCTTTAGAATGGTACCAGTAACGCTCTCGGTGGGGGATTTGTCGCTTTGTCGCTAGATACACTGGCGTTCCTCGATGAAGGCTCATCCGTGACATTAGTGGAGAACATCGTCGTAAACCATCTCCAGGTGAAAGGTTTCCGGAACCGTTGATAGTATCGTGGACCGGGAATATGAAACGGTATGAAGACGGCTCTAGGCGGGTAAATTTGATGCTAGCGGACAAGGATAAAATCCGTGTCGGAAGTCGATACCAAACGGAGGTGCAAGCGATGCTGAAGGACGGTGAGAAGTACGAGCGAAATCTTGAAGAAATGGAAACGATAGTGTGGACGCCGCGGCATACGCTCAACAGAATACTGACCTGGAGCCGTCGGTAGGTTTAACCAAAATTGGCTACAGAACAATGGTACGGCTCACACGAAACTTTGGTAATGTTCGGATCACGTAAAACAATCTTCGTTTCAAACTCTTGTTGAGCAGTGCTTCCCAACATTGTCAAAGAGATAGTTTTCCTCCTGTAGACAAATTTCCCTCGTACTGCTTGTTTTTATGTGTGATTTTAACCTCTGTAGCCGTCGAATTTTATCTGTTTGATTTTCACCAGAATAACAAATTTAGAACTAGGAATTTCTAATAACTGTGATAATTTTAATATAAAACCTGAACTGAACTGACCGCGTGACTTGCAATAGGATGATGAACTTGATCTCGATGACTGACAGTCCTAATTTCTATTTTCCCTATATGTATGAGTCAAATCGGTCCGTCAGATCGCACTTTTCTCCAGGGGCAATCGGTAAGCCCAGCGGTGTTGCTCCCAACAGATCCCCGACCCGTAATCTTGGTCCAATCCCTTCATCCGGTCCGGTAACGTCATCAATTTCCAAAACCGCTAGCTTAACTGTTGCCCTCCTGAAGACGCCACTGTTGGTTCGAACCCAAGCTTGCCGAATCCTGCCATCCTTGGATGTTATCAGCTCCTCAACAGCTCCGCGAACCCACAGCTTCCGGTTCTTGCCATCCACAACGTAAACCAGGTCGCCTGCCTTCAATGGTTGAGCCTCGCTAAACCACTTGCTACGTCGGTTGATCATTGGCACATACTCTTGAATCCATCGTCTCCATAACTCTTCGGCCAGCTGCTGTGACCGATGGTAGGTATTGCGAAGAGCCTCAGCAGAATGTGACGGCGGGGGAATCATGAGTGGTTCGTTCGGTGACACATCTTTCAAAAAAAGGTTAGGGCTTAGCGCGTCGATCGACCCCTCGGCAACATATGTAAGGGGACGAGAGTTGACTAGATTCTCCGCTTCCGCAATAGACGTTTGTAGGATCTCATCAGTCAATCTTTTTCCACCGTCAACCGCACTTCGAGCATCTTCCACGGTCCTGACGAAGCACTCCCAAGAGCCTCCCATGTGGGGTGTGGCAGAAGGGATGAATCTCCACCTAGTGCAGGCATCGGTATCGGTAACTGCTTCGGCGCATTCTTCCCGAATGAAACGAATCTTCTCGATGATTTCTTTACTGGCTGCTTTCAGATTGGTGCCATTGTCGGAAACGAATTCCAGTGGAGGTCCACGGCGGCACACGAATCTTCGGATGGCCATAAGGCATGAGGCTGCCGACAGATCGTGCGCAATCTCGAGATGTACTGCACGAACTACCAAGCAGGTGAACAGAACAACCCACCGTTTCTGCCGACTGCGTCCAACGATCACCTCAATGGGTCCAAATTATATTAAATTAATAAATAAGAAGTAAGTTGTTACACAAGCGCCATCTGACGCATGAATTCTGAATTGAACTGTAAACCATCCAACATTTCTTGTCCATCTGAACAACTTTGCCAAAGACAACAACCTTCTATCTAGTGACCTGGCAAGTTAAAGCTGAGCAGTTCCATGTCAAATAGCGAAAAAATAAGCAGAGTTCCGATTTTACTTCTCAGAATTCCATGAAACTTCGCATAATTGTTCGCCTTTCAATAAATCGGCACATCTAATCGAAATGACGCCTGAGACAAAGTTGTAGGAAACTGGTTTGCCTTTTCAGTAAAATAAATGCAAACTGAATAAAAAAAAATCACACATTCGAGGCGTCAGTCGAGGCCGGCCGTATGTGAGCAGCAGACAATCACCCAGAAGGAGCGGCTGAAGGTGCTAGTGGAAAACATCTTTCCAGCGAAGCAACCGGCTGAAGATAAACGTTGTGCCGAAGACCGTCAACCCTCCCAACGTCCCTTAGATGCGACCGATAGAAAATTTTTGGGCGAACCTCAAACGGAGGATCTATTCCAATAATTTCGTGGCCAACACGGAGGAGCAGCTGATCGCCAAGGGTACGATAGAGCTGAAGAACGTGCCGACATCCATCTTTTCATCGGCCATGGCTAAGGTTCCGACCAACAGCCGTAAGGTCGCCCGGCAGAGCGTCGAAGCATGTTTGTAGAAGGCCTAATAAACGTAGGATTTTGTATGAAAATTTGTTCCATTGAATTACATTTTGTGGTTTTTTTTTTCATCGCCATCCGAAATAAGTCATTTTTTTTAATATATACCTTATAGAGATTGGTGACGTTTAACGCACGCACACTAGCGGGTGCATCACCGTGTAAAGTTGTTTATTATTAACCTAAAAAATGTTTGAAATTAGATCTGTCAAAATGAGTTTGACAGCAATTTATTAAGTCTAGATAGAGCTGGAATTAGGGCGTAAC